ATATTTCTCCCCCTCCAATGTTGAGTAGACTAAAATACTAGCAGTGCTGGGAAGGATTTTTCTCAATCTGCAGAGGTTCTTTTTAATCAATTTTCCACATGTAGGGCTTTTAAAATGCAGCTCTTGGCATACAGATCACGTTGCCTGCTGTTAAAACTCTCCAAGCTGGGATTTATTGGCTTCAGAAAAACCCACTGAAATCCATAGCATATGTATCCTTAGCTGCTAGATGTCAAGACAGTTCTAACGTCACACTATCATTCACAACCCATAAATGTGAAATTGATGATCACCATTATTTTACAAAAATATACTACCAAGCAAGCTATAAGTCCCTCACTGAAATTTCTGCAGGTATTTGGGAACTTTGATTATGATTCAGGGAGCAGAATAAAATCTCCATGTGCCATCATTTATCTATTAGAGTAGGCATGTAACACATATGTACCTTGTATTATATAGAGAACATACTACTTACAAAGTAAAATCCAGTATCTTAATTGATACATTTTTAAACAAATGAAAATTAGAGAAAATATTTATTTACTTACTTAATGGCACCAAAGCTGATTTTTCAGGAATTTGCATTAGAAAATCATAGTTTTCTAACAGCTATAAAAGGGTTTTCTGACTCTGTATTTAGCCTATCAATGATAGAAGTATCAGAGAAACTAAATCCTACTGATCAGAAATTGTTAGATTTTTCTGTTTGAAATTACATACCCTACTCTGATTGTAGGGCACTGAAGAACTTGAAGTGCGAATTCTGGTGCAGGCTCGGCCAGGCCAAGATATTAGGTAAGTTCCTAACATATAGAATGTATAGCCAAGTTGTGTATCTACCTCATCAAACACTCAGGAGAGCATGACTGTTATAAATTCACAGTAATGTGAAATACCCATGTTCCTCAGAGTTTAATAAGAAGCAAAATGAATTTTCTGAATTTATATCCCATGACTACCCTGCCTACTTTTTAAGAAGGTAGTAAAGGTAAATGAAATAATCAACATGCGAATGTAAAGTTATAAATCTACATAATCCATAGGTAATTCTATCTATAGATAATCCAATATCCAGCCCCTCCCCTAAATTATCTAGAAATTGATATTAACACAATGCCAGAATTGAGTATTTATACAATTACGTGATAGCTCATCTTTTACTGACTACTCTTAATAATGGAATAACCTGCTTCCCCTCACAAACAAAAATTAGGCTGTCGTCCTACCATAAATAGTGTATATGCTTTAAATTACTTTTCTTACAATGAAATGTTTGCCTAGATTCCATTAATAATAATTTATCCAACATCCCGCTGTAATACGGATTATGCTTCTCCCCTGCCTGTAGCAATAGGGCAAGGTGAATATACCTCTGTGGCCTCATATCAGGATCAACCTAAACAGTCAGTAGAAATTATTTCTGTGAATGTAACCTCACTAACATTCTCCCTACAAAACTAACCAACTGTGAGTCTCTGTTAATGGCGGTAGGTATTTCCATACAAATCTTTGCTTTATATTAGAGAAAGTTTGCAGTTGGTACTTTCAAATACATGTAGTACAAACCAATTTGTAAAATAATTTTTAAAGATGAAGTGATATATTTTTATTTAGCAGTAATAGACAAAAGTAGTTTCTGTCTTCTGTTGCCATTTAATTTTCAGATTTTAAAAGTTTCTTAAAAAGTTATTTGATTATTTTGCTTCTGCCTCATCTGTGAACTTTTTTCTCCCCTGAATCTCTTCATTTTCTGACACTACAATTTCCTTCTGAGTTGAGAAAATGTTATTGTTATGATTCTACTTTAACTTTCAGACCCATCGGCCATGACATTAAAAGAGGAGAATGCGTTTTGGCCAAAGGAACCCACATGGGCCCCTCAGAAATTGGTCTCCTAGCAACTGTAGGAGTCACAGAGGTTGAAGTTAATAAGTTTCCAGTTGTTGCAGTCATGTCAACAGGGAATGAGGTAAAAAAAATAAATTAAAAAAAATAGGAGGGAGGGTTTTCAGGTAAAGACATTTCTGACATGTATTTTATGTTCTAAATAGAAAATTGTAGATTCTAGATTTTACCAATGGGATTACATTCCTATAAAAAGAAAATAAGTTGGCTTTGGGATATATTTCAAGTACAGAAGATAAAAAAGAAAACTAGAAATTATATAATAAGAAATGTTCCCTTCCATTTATTAGAATGCAATATTATAAGCAGTGACCTTTTCACATGTTCCAGTACACATAAGTAAAGAACATTAACAGCAAGCTATAGATATCAAACTGTGTAAACTCAATACTTCGTCTGGTAGGGCACTGACTTGTGCTTATCCTGTTGCTGAAATGATTGGCCACCCCTGTGCAGGAAATAAATCAATAAGTCAGGATACTATGCTTTGTCGTTGTTTAAAGTTCCATGTGATCTTTAACCACCAGGATGAACTTGATAATCATTTTTTTCTCTACTGATAGTACCTCTAGTGCATGCTATTACAAAATTGTTTAGAGAGGGAATTTAGTCAATCTTTTTCTAAGAACTTTTTAAAAACCCCTGCTTACCTATTTTGCCTATGTTGTTAAAAATTTCAGTAAAAGGCTCTAAAGCCATACTGATAATAATGAAAAGTGAATCTGCAGCTGGAAATATAAAGCCTTATAGCAAAATTTGAAACTACTGAGATTCTAAAAGATAATTCCTTCAGACCATACTATTAAAGATTTAACAGAACTACGTTTGTTTGTTTTTTTTTAATCTCTAACTTTGTTCTGAAAGTACCCCTCCATTAGCATTTTTAATTTCTTTAGGTCTTCAAAATGAAAATGACTCTTTGGAATTCCAAATGATTCTTATTGTTCTTTAAGGCAATAGAAAAAAATAGAATCTTTTGCTGATGGAATGCTAAATCAACATTTTGCTTTTGGCCCACTGTAGGTACACTATTGATTGACAAACATTGAAACTATTGATTGACATTCTTTTCAATCTTATCTATAGAGTGATGATTTTAATATCCCTAGGACCAACTGGCACTATATTTAGCATCAGGAAGAAATTTCTATTAAATTAATTGACTCAGTGAACCATTCTTATTTGTGATTTACTTAAATATTTTGTGCTATTAAGTTCATGGAGTTTGGAAAAGGTGCATAGAATAACCAAACTCATAAATAACTATTATGAGGAAACTTTTTGGGGGCTATGTCACTCATAGTCTTTCTAATATTTTTGTGGCACTGGACTAATATTGTTGGTTAACTCACAGAGTATATTAGTAATTTTTTTAAACCACCTTTTACATGCTCTTAAAACTATTTACTGGTCATAATGAAAGGTGATAGAGTGTTAATAGAGATGATATTTATATTGTAGTCTAAGGAAGACTTTATGGTCTTATGTCCCTGTCCCCACAGAACTCATTATCCTTGAAGAGGCTTTCAGTGATTTTATATGACTCTTTTCTCTTACTTTCTGTGGCCTCCTATAGTTAGCATGGTTTTCAAGGGAATTTTCCAGATTTACTCATTTCCCATTATAGGTGCATTAGTCATTCCCCAAAACTACTTTTAACATAAAACATTCTTTTCATTTTGGTATATATAGCAATGATTTTAATATCCCTAGAACCAATTGGCAATATATTTAACATCAAAAAGGAATTTGCTACTAAATTCTACAATCTCTGGTTCCATAGTGGTCAACATTCCTACCCTCACCATATTCAAAATTAGCTTTTGCCATGACTATATAGTTTAGTTTAGCTCAACAAATGTTTCTTGGATACCTCTGTGCCAGGCACTATATGTGAAATTGGTGATAAAAGACATAAATAAAAAGAGAGACACACCTTCCCTACACCTTTAGTGTGATACGTAGGGGAAGAACAAAAAGGGAAAAGAAAAAAATGTGAGAGAATGAAAAGATGAAAATAAAGTGTTTGTAGATGGGGAGGGGAGGAGGGGGTGAAGGGAGAGCAGAGGTAAGGGGAAAAAAATAGACAAATAAAGCATAGTATTTCTCCTGACAGCTTGAGGTTCTCCGATATGCAGAAAGCAATAGCCCTTCCCACAAAACAATTTTTTCCTTACTTTCAAAAGCCAAAAGAAACTACATTTATCTATTAATGTGGCAAGATTATAATTTAGCTGCTCACAGGGCCAGGTCCTATTATGTGCTGGTTCCGATTTCCCTTGATATGTTTGGTTTCACATACTTCTTACAACCAACACGGTATTGGTGAGTAGGAAGATGCCTTAAGCAACCCAAAGAATATAATAGAAGATGTCTATGTATAGACATACTATTCAAAGCCTGCCCAATATTTTGACTGTTTAACCTTGTTGAAGATGAGATAATTCTTTCACCATTAAGGAAATAGATTTATCAACTATAACACAGAGTAACTAATTTAGATATTTGTGGATTTCAACAAGCTATACATATTAAAATATAGATAATACCATTAATTGATTGTGAGAATGAATTCCCAGCCTCATAAGCTTGTTCAGTAAATGTATACTGAACATCTGTTACATGCTATAATGCTCACCAAGGGGCTCTCTTAACTAAACATTCAGATTTGAGGACTGAGACAGCAGATCAGAGGTAGAGTATTTGCTGAGCATGTGCAAGGCCCAGGGTTGAAACTCTAGCACCACAAAAAAGATGAAGTGGGGGTTGGGGAGAAGGAAGGAAAAGAAAAGGGAAGGAAGGAACAAAGGAATCATGGAATCATACCAATAAGATATGATTAGAATATTAGAATATATTCTAATATTAGAATAGATATTGAATAGACCATGGCTTGAAGCCATTAAGTTGGAAAGGTTTTGAACAAGAAACTCAGGTCCAGTATAGGGTCGTCTCTTCAGAGAGACTTACGCTCTTAGCAGTCTACATAGCCATCCATAGCTATTCTATGTATTCTCCAGGTGACAGCTTAGTTAAAGGGACTAAGACTCATACTGGGAGAGTGTGGGACACCCTGACTTAGAACCCTCATGTTCTATATAGGAATCAATATCTCCTATAACAATCTTAGATAGCTTCCAGGCCCTCTGTAAGATAAATGCCTAGTTAAAAGTATCACCATATACAGAAACCCAAACTAGCACTTCCCACTAGGTATTTATAGTTCATTTATAGTATTACCCAGGCTATGTGCAAGTGCTAGATATCATTTTTTCCATAAGCATTATTGCCTAGCCAGGCGTAGTGATCCATGCCCATAGTCCTAGGACTCTGGGAAGCCAAGGCAAAAGGTTCAGAAGTCCAAGCCCAGTGTGGATGATTTTGCAATCTCTATCTCAACATAAAAATTTTTAAAAGGCCTGTGGATGTAGCTCAGTGCGAAGGCCTTGAATTCAATCCCCAATAAGATAGAAAGAGGGAGGAGGTGGAGAGAAAGAGCAAGAAATGGAAGGGGACAAAGGGAGGGAGGGAAGGAGGAAAACATTTTCTAATAATAAGATGATGTTTTATCTTTATCAAATTTCTAAGGTAACAGCTAGAAGCAGAGCTAGGTAATGCATTTTCTATAGAAAATTAGAAAACAATAATAAAACTGACAAAGTCAGTCTGCTTTTTATTATCACCCTGCACTGGCAATTCTGAGCAATGTCAGTAATAAAAATATCCCTCTCCACTAGGTCACACCGCCCTTCCTCACTCAGTGTGCTGCTCGTGTCAGGCAGTATTCTGACTACAGATCTGCTCGTACAAAATTCACATTCTAGTTGGGAGGGAGCTCATCAATACATAAATAGTGATAAGTGGTACGAAGAAAGATAAAGACAAGATTATAAAGAGTGTTAGTAGAAGAGGTGTGTACCAGATATTGTCTGTTGAAATTTACTCTACTTTATCCCTTGTATACTTACTGTCCCTTATAAAAATCAGTCTGGAAACCTAAAAATTAGATGTGCGCGGCTCTGCAGCTGTGGTCTAATTAGGTACTGCCACTGGAGTGCATTCACATATTAAAAGGTGAAAAAGTAGGACCATCAGCAGAAGTACAATCCCTTCAATTCAGTAATACCACTCCCCCCACCAACAGCCTTGGAGATAATGACTTCGTGTAGTCACTCACCTTTGGTAACACAATTTTTTCCTTTTGCCCATCAACTTTTGCAACACACTTATAATGAATTCCCCGTATTAAAAACTCTCTACTCCCATCTCCCTTTGAAATATCCAGAGATTTTTATTTTCTTGTCTAGACCTAACTGATGAAATTTTCTATTATAGATAGGGTAATAGGTCTGACTGATAACATGGAATTTGAAGGCACTGAGAGCATATGCCCTATAGGGGACCTATGTTCTAGACAGGGGAAATGACAAAAGTTAAATCCCAATTTAGCATAATTAAGGAACAACTGAAGATCAGTATGACAAGAAGCAAACTAAAAGGTGCTGACTTTGGAGAGGTAACAGAAGCTAGATCATTTTATTTCTAAAGGGCCGCTTTGAAGCAGTAAAATAAGGGAACATACTATGTCTTAAGTTTTAAGTGTACTCTGGCTTACGTGGCATGGCATATAGTAGGAACAAGAGGAAAACAAGGAGACTAGTTCGAAAGCTATTCAGTGCTGTAGTAAAAGATATGGACCAAAGAGTAATAGTAGAGGTGGTGAGAAGTAATAGACCCAGGATTTCTTTTGAAGGCAAAGCTAACATGACTTGCTGCAGATTTAAAAATAGGATATAAGAGGGCTAAGGATGTAGCTCAATGGCACCATACCTGCCTAGCAAATGGAAGGTCCTGAGTTCAATTCCCAGTACTGGAAAAAAGGGGGAAAGAAAGTATATAAGAGAGAATATATAAGAGTCAAGATGATCTCAAGGTTTTCCCCTGAACAAATCTAAGGATAGATGTTTACCCGGAAAGATCAGGGAGTAGAAATCAGGGGTTCTATTTCAAATATGTCAAGTTTGAGATACCTACTAGAAACTACCACTGCAAATATTGATGAAA